AATATGATAAAAACATAAACGTATAAATTTTATTCCAACTAATACAAGTATAGAAGTATAAATAAGCAAATATTAACTTGAAAGTAATATTGACGGTATACAATTTTAAAATAAATTCAGAGATTCCCTGACGCAACATCCAATCAATTCAGAGATTCCCTGACGCATTTTTTCAGACCGAGATCGGTCCGGATATGTATATATGGACCGATTCCCATCAGTATAATAAATTAATATATACGAACCGATTTCGGTCCGTATAATTTCATCAAAAATAATAATTCATTCCTAATTTTTGTTATTTAATCTTTAATTTTTACGAAAAATAATAAATATACGGACCGAAATCGGTCCGAATATAAAAAAGAAATTTCATCTTCTCTAACGGATATATACAGACCGAAGCGGTTCGTATATATTTATTTAAATAATATTTTATTCATATTTTTTGTTATTTAATATTTATTTTTTTTCAGAAATAACATTCGGACCGAAATTGGTCCGAATATTATTGGCGCCTCTACACTGTGAATTCCCGTCAAAAATATACAGACCGATACCGGTCCGAATATGTTCATTAGTTGATTTTGTTCCACCTCAATATATTCGGACCGAGATTGGTTCGAATATTTATTTTTTCAGACCGACAATATTCGGTCCGTATATGTTCGGTCCGTATACGTCATTTTTCTAGTAGTGGACGGCATTTTCTCCTCCAGATCTCGGTGTTTTATTGGTCTACTCTGCATCTCCTCTATCCTTGGCTGAACCACTATTTTGGAATTTTTATACACAGAAGAACATGTCCTCGTTCTCTTCTTCTTCTGTTTCTTGAGTTTCCTCTCTTTTCTACCCATCCAAGCTTTCAATTGCCCCGATTCACTTTCAAATCCCTGCCAAAAGGAATTTTCTTCACTGAGAACTTCTAATCGGCTCAAACTACCCTTGCCTCTCTGATTCACGTCATCCACCTCATCCTCCTCGGACATCAACCTGCCCTTTCTTCTCCGATTCGCCTCACCTTCCACCTGCATCAATCTGCCCCTGCTTGTCCAATTCGCCTCATCCTCCTCAGGTCTTAAGCTCCCCCTGCTTCTCCGATTCACATCAACCTCCTCATTTATCAAGCTAACCCAATTTCTCCGAATCGCCTCATCCTCCACATGCACCAAGCTGCCCTTGCATGTCCGCTTCGCCTCATCTTCCTCGGGTATCAAGCTGCCCCACTTCTCCTATTCCCCTCATCCTCCTCGGGCATCAAGCTATCCCTGCTTCTTCGATTCACCTCATCCTCCTCGAGCTTGTCTTTCACCGTTTCACTTATCTCCACATCATCATCAGCTTCATATGATTTATTACCTTTATTGGGCCCCATATAGGAGGCCCAATCCTCATCATCTCTCAAACATGCTTGAGGATCCAACCGGCAGCCCTTAACCCACTTCTCCTCTTTGGACCGGTTCGGATAATTTGGCCCAATCACCTTACCATTTTCACAATTTGAATTCAATAAATATAATATTGTGTAACATTTAATAATAATCTTGCAATTGTTCTAATAGTGTGTTGTCTTGTTCTTCAAAATGAGAATGGAAGTTCGAGCCCAAAAATGTCAAAATTTAATTAATATGTTTTTAACATGTAACTCATAATATATTAATGGATTTTTATTATATAGATTAAAAATATAATAAAAATAATTTTTGTAATTAATTTATATAAAAATTTGTAAAAATTGATTTTAAATTAATTAATTAATTAATTAAAATTATCTATATAAATGTAAAT